AATTCTTTTAATAAATTAATCATTCTTTTAATAAATTAATAAATTCTTTTAATAACATATTTCATTTATTAAATAACTCTATTTGAATAAATTCAAAGTAGACATCTGAGAATGTAAAGCATTTAAAGTTCGATCAAAATTTCTTCAGCTTGTTATGAATCGCGAGCTGTTATCATTCCGTCTTATTCAAGAAAGTGATCGATCAAGAAAAATGAAGATACTTTCCAGATTCCTCGGCATTATGTGATATTTATATTCATATTTATGTAACGTAGCGAAACTATCTACCCCTGATATATCACCGCGGTTTCGCTAAAGTTACGCGATTGTGCATCCCTTAGAAGTGAAGATGCAGCGCAGAGTGCGATTGTGTCCTATGCGCTGCGTCATTACCAGCACACCCTCACACGTACATACAACGCATTGACGACGAGGACTACGTCGACAACGGTGTCTCTTTACGTTTTCATCGTCTAAATGGCGGTACATCGGACGGGTTTGAAGAATGACTCAGAGGCACTGTACTCCGTCGCTGTCTATACGATGGCGACGGCGACATGAAGGGGATGGATGCCACGGAGAGCGACACCGCCACCACAACACACCACATCACACCCGTGGTCAAGAGGGTGGAAACGTGGCTCAACCGTATTGCGCAGAACGTCGGCGCCTTGGCGTCGCGACGACCCTCGTTGGGGGTGAGTCAGGCCGGTCGTTGCTTGGTGCCCGTGCCTTTCCGGTTCCCGCTACGGTACGCTACGGCACAATCGCACAGTGTACGTATACGACGGCGCGAGCGCACGATCGTCGGTCCCACCATCTCGCTTTCGTCCGAACTGCGCCTCCGTCGTCCGATTCGGAATCGCACGCGCCAACTCTTCGCGATCAAGCGAGGGAGTTTGGATGCGCCAGACGCGGCGGCGTGACGCTTTGAACGACGACGACGAGGACCGTTAGATCACTAAGGCTGCGGGGGGGATCCACGCGGACGGAAGGAAGAGAGAGATAGAGACATAAGAGGAAGAAAGTTACGGCGTCGAGTTCTGCGGTGGCAACTATGCGCGTCATCGATCGCGCGCACCTCCGCGATCGGCCGGAGATGTGATACCGGAAGTAGACCAGGCAGGGTTGACCTGCGTGGGCGTGCAGGTACGCGACGTACGGGTGCGTGCGTGCGTGCCGTGCATAGGCCGCAGGTGTGCCGCGTGGACCCGCGGGGGGGCCAGCAGTCGTAGAGATGAGCGTCGCCGCGATAACCTGCCCGTCACCGACGTACCTGACGTCGGGGACCAACCCCTGGTGCAGTACCACCGCTGTGCGGCTGCTCTGCGTCGTCTTAGTTTCCTCTTGGATTATCCTCGATCAGCCGGCCCTGGGTCTACCGAATCCCTCGGAGCTCACGACCGTAGAAGGTAAACCCTTTAAATAGTTTCACCCGCGCTCATACGAGGCGCGTACAACTTTCTCTCTCTCTCTCTCTCTCTCTCTCTCTCTGCGAATAAAAAATGACGTTTCTTTCAAAAGAAAAAAAACATAAACGAAAAATGATTGAAATTTGATTGGAAGAAACTGATCTGCAGTTATTTACTTCGTACTAGTGATCTTTATTCATTAGTTTCGCATGCGTGATTGTTAAATAATATATTTGAAGGATAATGATTAATTACATAATTTATTATATATATACATATACTGTTAATAATACTAGTATATAAAATATTTAAAGTAAAAAATTGTAAAGTATTGTTTATAGAAATTTTATAATTTCTTCTGTAGTTATCCATACGGTGGCAGGTAAAGACTTTATCCGTAAATACTTCAATCCATGTCATAAAAAACACTGTATTTCTTTTTCTCTGTAATTTTTTTTTAAATTTAAATATTTATCTTATTTAAAAATCAATTCCATTTTATATTAAATATCTCCAATACAGTCAATTTCATTTAATATCTCTAATAATAGGATTTTTAATCTATAACAAAATCAAGAAAATATCACAAGTAATGGAAAAGTGTAAAAATAGTCGAAAGACATTTAAAGGACGTTTAAAAGTCATAAAGTCTTCTAAGTAATATTTTAAACCTTCCTATTATTTTGAATAAAAGTTATAAGTAAGATTTTATCAAGGTCATAATGTTGATGATAATATTGCATGTATAAGATATGGGATGCAAACTATATCATAAATAGATACGTATATCAAACAAATATAGAGTATTATTATCTACATAACGTGCTTATGTACATAAGCCAAATAACCTTCCAAGATTTTATTCGGTTGAAATTTTGAAATAGTCGATGCAATTATTCTGTAATTTTGTAATTTGCATTAAAATGATCATACTATATAACATAAATGATTATATTAAATGAATTAATTATAATAAGTTATCGTACTCTATAACGTGTGGATAAGAAAAAATTTCCAAGATTTTTACAGGATTTGATATGTAATATGTAAATTCACATTGAATTATTTAAGTACTAAAAATTTAACTTGATCGTTCGTAAGGCCTTTATTTCTTATTTGTTTGTTGTATGTGTTTTTACATCATGATCTTAAACGATACTTCGTCTAAGCTTTTTGTTTATGATCATTTTTTTTCATTAAAAATTCAACAAGTCGATATAATTTAATAATTCTATAATGCACATATAAAAATTAAAAAAAAATCTTTTTGAAAACATTTACTTCATTTAAATGGAATTATGCTTCGTGACATGCGTATATTTGTTTCTTCAGATATCTGATTTCTTTAATTTCTTTTGTGTGCAATTACATAAATGTCGCATGTCGTGCGAAGGACATCGTGGAGTACCTGATTAAAAGCCGAATAAATTCTCCTGATGAAATTACCAAGTGATGCGGTGTTAATACAATAAAGCTTGCGTCAGACTGCACGATTCATGGTGACACATCTCTTGATTTTGCCAAATGAAGTCATGTTGCTACTGAATTGGCATAAATGATAAACGACAAATGCGAATTCGATGAATACGTCTATTCACGTTATTTGCAAATCTCATACAAATGGCAAATTTTGAATTGTTCCAAATGGCGCATTGATGGCGCAAGTTTAAGGACGTTTTGGCTGCTTTTAAAAAAAAAAACAGCTTTGCAAGTGCTGTAAAATTTTTTGATATTATAATTAGTCTTAGTTTATTTCTCATGGGATCTAAATATATGAATTAATCATATTAAAAAAATTCTTACAATAGTTACAAGCTGCTTTCTCTATTGAAAGTAATCAAAATCAGCTCAATAATCAGCCAAAATAAGTTAATATCAATTAATATTATTCAAAAATTTTTGATGATATTAGCTTGTAAATATATTCTGAAATCAATTATAAAAAACAAAACAGCAAATAATTTAGCTTATAATAATTTTATGCAGGATAATTATCATATTTTTTTTCTGCAATTTTAGGTCAATAACTTTTAAAAGAATAAGTAAATCCAAATAAATTTTTACATGAATATTTATTATTGTGGATCAGTTTGTTTAATTCTTTTACTTCCTTATCAAATTTATAAATAAGGTATTACGAAACACGATTTTATATAAGAATTAACAAAAAAAAAATAATAATAATAAAAATAAAAATAAAAACTTTTAAACTAATCAGGGAATAAGGGAAGTGTTCAAATTTTATACAGATATTTAGACGTAATAATGAATCTATAAAATTTTTATATTTTTGATAATGTTTTAAGATGTAATCTATACAACCTTAAAATCTCGCGTGAATAGTTCGTCGTTAATGGTAAACCTATATTTATTGTCGTGCGACACTGAAATATCGCGACAAATATTGCAAATCAAACGGCATATATCTATGACAGCGTGAGAGGTTTGATATCGATATAAGAGAAGAGATAAGGAGATAAAGTGAGAGATTTATCTATTTAAATTTTCAAAAGTTACAATCATATTTGTTGCTAACTTTGTCAATTTCAAAATAAAATAATATCGATTGTAGCCCGTAAATATACTTGTCCCTCGATCTATACGATATATACTTTTTTGCGCGATCTATTACTATCTACTCTTCACATTTACGGCCCTCGGAAACTCTACGGAATGAGAATTGCTTCATTATTTTGGAATACTTCTTCTGTAATTCTATGGAATAAAAGATTTGTGTCTGAATCAAATAAATAAATAATGTTCACGTAAATAGATAGTGAATTATAAAATGATCTTTTTCTTATAATTATTTTTTTTATATTAACGTATTAATGTTAATGTATATATTTGATATATTAACAAACATGTTTAGGAGATCTTACTTTTCATAATCCGCCAATAATTATTTAAGAGTATTAAATAACAAATATTTTTTCTGAAAAATTTTGAAATTTTAGTCTATTTTCGCATGTAAAAAGCTATTGTTTTATCAATTCATTTGTAATCTGCCTGTCTCGTTTAGCTGTCTCAAAAATTTATACGGATCGGTCATCGTAAAAGACAACGATATATTATAGATAGCTAAAATGTTTTCCTTTAAATAATTTTCCATATTTTTTTAGGAGGAATTTTTTTCTAGTTTTCTGATTCTAGTTTTCATCTTTTATTCATCTTAATCCGCGTACAGTTACCATAGACTAACACAATTTCGAAAAGAAGTTTGCTTCTTTGTGCTGAAAATTTGTTGTTCAGGATTCTACTAACGATCCGCATTCATAGCTTATTCAATTCGTTTCAATTTGTACAAAGTATATTTTTCAATTTAATGCATATATTTTTCAACAATACTGATTACTACAGAATATTGAAAAATTCTTTTCATTTAAAAATATATGTAAATTAACAGAATATTGGAAAATCCTTTTCGTTTGAAAAATATATGTAAATTAACTTTGTGATATTGAAAAATAATATTAGTCTTTTATGATTAAATTTTAAACCGCAAATCAATATTTAATTTTGTAAATCTAATTAACTTTCGCACTTTGTAGTTCTTTATAAAAATTTAAAAAAGTATCAATTATAAATTATAATTATATATATTTATCGTTTTCCGACTGTTTAAAAAAAAAATATTATTTATTAGTTTTAAATTGCGGAAAAGTAACCTTTAAATCTTAAAGTTTATTTAAAAATCCCGTATGTAAGATAACAATTATAATTGCGATTATAAAAAGGATAATGCAACAAGTAAAAGACAGTGCAAAAATATTTACAAAAATATTATGGACCTATTGTGTGAAAACAAATTTGTTAAAATCAATCATGAAAACTGAAATACTTGCGTCGTTCGAGATTTCAGTATGCTTTGTTTATGTCAGTATACGCGTCAATCAAAATAATTCTAATATTTATTTTATTTTGATTGTTTTATTTATTTTATCTTCATTTTATTTAGAAGTTGAAATACACTTCTAAATAAAATTTATTTGCTTTGATTCTGTTAATATCTTGGACATATCTTATTTAAATATATCAAATCAAGCGACATAAAAATGTCATATTGATTTACATAAGATGTTCATTGGTCCAGTGGCTTTATGATATGATTGCGCAGCTTTATTTTATATATGATGGTCCTTAAAACGTTTTGTTTTAATAAAATGTTATTTTATTAATGCTATTATAAAATTAACAAGATCATTTTTAATTAAAATAATGCTAACAATACAATATTATTTCTTCTCGTGTACTCTCTTTATTTGTTTGTTTATTCCTTGCTTTCTTCGTTCTATTATTTATTTATCAGATTAACATTAATTTGCAGATAAATTTTCTGTGCTTATTACGTACTGCGAGAACTTTATTGAATTATCCTTAATGAAAGTGAACCTAACAATTTGTTTCTCTTAACTTAATTTGCATTCTAGTAAAATTGACATTATCTTATCTGCTCAGAAATATACTTTAAAAGTTAGAGAAAAAGAGTGAGAGATTGTGTGTGTGTGTGTGTGTGTGTGTGTGTGAGAGAGAGAGAGAGAGAGAGAGAAATAAAATTTTATACATATTTTCGTATGCATATATATTTTATAAATATAATGCTAGATTTTGCAAACTATAAAAGATCTTACAATATATAAAAATTTTGATGCAGTATGTACTTTAAAAAAAATTATATATAACATAAAAATATACACTGAAAGAAAAGTTTGGTTGCTGCAACAATTTAGGTAAAATATGGCATAGCATTTTTATATGGCTGCAGCAACCAATTTTTGGTTGTAGCAGCAAATTTTTAGTTGTGTTAATCTATCCGCAATATCAGTATATGATTTTGATAGACTAACGCAACTAAAAATTAATGACTAATCGAAACAAAATTTAATTTATAAAACAATCATGCATATTACATCTGCATAAACTAACATCTAAAGAATATTGAAAACATCTAAAAAATATTTTATTTTTATATCTTAAATATATTTTCTAGATTTATATTG